CGTTCGTCTTGACATTTGTGTTTTGCCCTGCTGCTTGGTAAGGTTGAATGATTGGAGAGAACAGTGGAACTAAGTGATTAGGATTAGGGATAGCTCCTCATAATATCATAAAATACTAACACTATTAAACATCATTCAGCAATTCTCGAAAGATGAATTAACTAAACCATTCAGTCACTAGGAAAGTCTGAGTCAAAGTCGCGATTCTAATCTACTATATGGATGAGTCTGAGTTACGAACGAAGTAACCAGTGCTATGAACTGGTTAGGTATATAGGTACAAGATAATTATTATGACCTTCATCTAAGTGTACTTGTGCTGTTGGAAATGAACCAGATGCTTTCAGATATTTAATATAGAAAATAGAAAATTATTGATAGAAGTATAGTGTTAATATAAATATTCTGTAAGCTTAATTAAGTCAACATTGCTGTATTCACATAGTATAGTAGAAGTTACCATAAGATCTTTACACAATACTAGATTTCGAGTACAATTGAAGCTTAGAAAATGAGAAACAACTAATGGAAAGGTCCGGTCATTAAAGTCCAATAATCGTATTCTGTAAATCCCCACGTCGGTTGTCTTTTGCACCACTGTGCATCGCTTATACGAATATTCGTTTATTCTGATTACAAAAGGAGGGCATGGGAGGCTAGGCGGAGCGGGGGCCAAGGCACAAATTCCAACTTTACTTCAACTTTAATGTTCGGTCACTGTCGGTACTCTGTTCTCTGTGTGTACTCAGAGTACGCAGTGACGACGCCGGCGACGACGGCGACGACGACGACAACGACGACGACTCTGAAAACGAATACGATGACTCTGACTCTGACTCTGACGACGTTCGCTCTTTCATTTTGTATACCCTTGCTTGGGGTACATACTAATTATAAACTGAAATAGGACACAATTGAATGATCGGTATTGATGCATAAGATGAACTTCTTTCAAACCTAATTAATTAAATCTTTCTCGAATATAATGTATATATAATTTACAAATATTTAAGTGGTTGATGTTATTCAATTATAATATATTAGTATTTTTGATTTGATCGATTTAAAAATTTTCGGACTTCTCCATAGTAAACTTCAACGAAATATGTTGTTCGAGAAATACATTATAAATACTGATAATAATTTTAACATTGCAAGATTATTCAGACTTTGATTTTTATCTAAATGTTTATTATTATTGAATAAATATTTTCATCAATTTTGTAATGAAATCTACAATGTTCTTGGTCTAAAGGTCTTTGTTGAATGCATGCTTGCTGAAATATCTTCTCCAAGGCTATCTAAAGGGTATACAGATGAGCTTTGATGCTTTTCTTTTGATGGCAGCTTTAGCATCAGCTTGAGAGCCTTAGCTAGGGCCAGTTGCTTGCTTGTTGGATAGTTGAATGGCTGGTTGGCATAGCTTGCTATGGTGCTGGTGCTGGTGCTGGTCGCAGTTGCAAGCATCACCATCGTTGTTGCCTTCAACGTTTGCTGCTGTCGTTGTCGTTGTTGTTGCTGCTTTTATTATAAATTTTTGCTGGCACTGGTGTTCGTTCGTTGCTGGGTTTTTTCATCGTTGTCGTTGTCGTCGTCGTCGTCGTCTTGCCTGACGTTATACTACCAGCCAACGCCATCGCATGCTTCACCTTCGCCCCACCGCACAAACACTTACACACACACACACACAGATACACACACAGCTACACACACATACAGACACTCAAACAGTCACACACTTTGTGCGGCTGCTTTCCTCTCTCCTCCCCCTGCCAATGCTCCCACTCTCACTAAAATTCAGTCGCTTTGCTCCCCACATTCGTTGCTGCTGCGGCGAAGTTTCTTGTTTTCTTTCAACGTTGCTGCTGCCGCTGCCTTTGCCTCTGCCGTCGCTTCTGCTGCTGCTGCTGCTGCCTCTTTGCTTGTCGTAATTTTACTTGTTTTTTTTTCTTTCTGTTTTCTTTGTTGTTGTTGCTGCTGTTGCTGTGTGCTGCTTTCTGTGCGCTCGTTGGCTCGTTCGTTGTTCGTTGGCGTTTTTCATTTGCGTTGCTGTTGGGTCTTTTTTTTTGCTGCTGCTGCTGTTGCCGCCAGTGAGTTGGTTTCGAAATAAACTTTAATGCGAACATTCGTTTGGTTGAGTTTCAGTTTCTGTTTCTGTTCCTCTGTTAAATTCAGTAAAATGTGCGCAGTCAGCTTCAGAGTCAGATGCAAGCAAAAGTCTCTTTGATTTTTGATGCCATTTTCAGTTTACGAACTAAGGGTATATGGTATTTAAGGGTTCCTTTTATGTATTGATTGTCAAGGGCCTTTTCACGCTTTTGTCAAAAGTTAAGTTCTTAAATGTTAACTGGCTGGGCTAGCCAAGAAATATTGCTATAGTTTAGATGGGTTCCTTTGGCTAACGTTACCCAATCGCAATAACAGCTGCGCGCGTTTTTCAAAAACCTTCGCGCAGGCGAAGGCGAAGCATTCGAAGCAGCCAAGCAACCAACAAACCAACCAAGCAGTAACAGCAACAACATTCAAGTTGCCAGTTGGCGGAATGCTGCTGCTGCTGTTGCTGCTGCTGCCATACATTAAGCTTAAGCTGCGTTGAGTTGAGTTTCACTATAAAATGAATATGAGTTTTCGTTGCTTTTGCTGTTGGTTTGGCACGCAAACGCACAAACGAACCAACAACAACCAACAAGCGAAACGCAACGAAACGATACGAAATGAACGAAACGAATCGAACGAACGAACGAACGACGAACGTCCTCGAGAAGCTCAGCCAGCAGCAACCACTTCAGCAGCCAACAACCAGCTTGCTCCCTCCTCTCCCCGTTTGCCATACAAACCAAAAATATACAAAGAGCAGCAGCAACGTCGACATTTGGGACGTTCGTTCGTTAGTATCGCAACAGCGAACAGCCGGAGCCATAGCCACTGCCATAGCCACTGCCATAGCCACTGCCATAGCAGATACAGATACGCAACCCACACAGATACATAAGCACACACACACACATACAGACAAATACAAATGCTTAGCTACACGCGCGCTGGAAACAACGCCAGCAAACGACGGCAAATGGTGAGACGACACGAGACGAGGCAGGGCGAGTCGAAGCGACCGACCGACCGACGACGACGACAGCACTCAAAAACGACAGCATGAATAATGCCATAGATTGGGGCTACACTGGGGATAAGTATACGCTACTAAATGTGTATAGGAAGAAATGGATAAAGCAAAATTATATAATATCTCCAGTTGGTATATATGGGTCTTTTTAACTAAATATAATCAAAATCGATAATGTACATAATCGTAAGAAACGAGGAACCAATTTACTACTGCTCATAAGTCTCAATATCTAAGAGATATAGAAACATATGTATGTGTGTACCTATTTTTTATTAAAGAATTTTTAAAGTATGTTGTAGAAATCTATTATTGGGACAACTATAAATGATTTAAAATTGAAATCTTCAAATCAGCAATTATGTTTTGGAAATATGAAATATAAAAAACAAAAAGAGTAAAGTAAATTGTAATTGAATTGAATATCAATAATTCTTCTAATTTTTGAATTGAACATGCATTGTGAGCTGCTTGTTAATGACAAATTATCTATAACTGTAGTAGTACCCTATAGAATAGCTGTTGTGACGCACCATTGAAATAGCTTCAAGACTCCATATTCTTTGGGCACCAGCCATGCACCAACACCCGACCAATATCGACAACAACAACACCATTGTCGCCCGTCCGTCGTTGTCGGATGTCTGTCGTCATCGCCAGAATTTGAATGCAAAATCGTAGTGTTGTAGAGAGATTTGCTGTTGTTATTGTTCTTGTGCTTCAAAGCGGACTGGTGCTGATGGTGTTGTTGCAGTATCACAATCGAAGCACATATATATATATATATATATATATATATATATATATATATATATATATATATATAAAGGTAGTGAGTTTACTCTTCCGTTTTGTTTCAGTTTCATCTCAGCTGAGCGCAACGCCTATCGGTCTTTGGCTGCTAAGAAATCAGTGCGAGGCCTTGACATCTTGTCAATTGACAAGAGAGACACAAAATGGAGTCGCGTAATGGCCGCTCGTAGATTCAGCTTCGGCAATAAACGAAAACAATCGTCGATCGTACATCCTGTTCCGATTTGAGTTCGTCTTTACTCGCCGGTATGCAGTTTTTAATTGAAAATTTAAATTGATTGTACAGCATTGTTGTAATTGTTTTAGCTTTCTTTAAATCTGTTTTTTTTTATGATAGAAGTCCGAAAAAAGGTAACCATTTTGGGCATTATGAGTATATTTGAGGAGTGCGGTATTTAATAAATTCATTGAATAATCTGGTCAATCAAAAATTCTAGCTAGCAGAGTTTCTAATGGTCTTTAGAACTAAAATTCTTATTTTTGGAATTATTGTTATTATCATAGAATTTTAACCCTTTAAGATAACTTCAATAATTGGATTCTTCTTGTTTATTTATATACTTATGTAATTGAAATACTGTTTTTGAATTGTTTTGCATTTTACAGAAATTTTTTAATGCGAAAAGACGGAAAATATTAATTTCAATCACATAAGCGCCGCCGCCGTCTGTTAATTGTACTAAATAAAACCTATGTAGCAAACAAGTTTCGTAGTAAGTAGCTTTTGTTAAGCTAGGTTCCAAAAACTGCCGACAGAGCACGCTCCAATTCAACAGAGCGCGTTCTCATCAGCCGCAGTATTTATTCACCACTTCCCGTGAAATGATCAGGTTATTGCTAAGCACATTACTGTGGTTGTGGAATTTTGTTTGCAAATACTAAAGTATTCACAATATATTGGAAATCACAATTTATTTGCCTTATTAGTTTTCTTTTTTAAAAAAACATGACCGCAAGTGAATAAATATCGTCAATAAATTATCGAATATTCGAAACCCTATAAAATGTACAACAGAGCGCGCCACAAGCAATAGAAAATCGAATTAAGTTGGCTGCATCAGAGTCAAAACAGCTGTTTGCAGAATTAAAATCGCATTGCCGCTACATAAAACACGCCAAGAAAATGATGCAACAAAGTAAACGTATTGTAAGTTTAACATTTCAATAGCCCCAACAAATTATGTATATATTAATGAAATAATTTCATGTATTGTTAGCTTAAGCCTGCATTGAATGCACTTTGGAATTTACCGGCACGCGGTGCTGCCAGTACAACGGGAGGCGCACCCGCCAAAATTGAAAAAAGTGCGTGTTAAATAAGTTAGCTACTTGCATATCTAGTTTATTATAATAATTTGTCATTTATCAATCTGAAATGTAGCTGTTAACACTGTGACAGTTTTGGGGCGTGTGGGTGCCGATCCGCAGTTGCGCGGCTCCCTGGAGCATCCGGTTGTAACATTCTCGGTGGCCACACACACAAATTACAAGTGAGTTGAAATCAATAATATAGTTGAAATAGGATATTCGTTACATTCTTGCTTATTGTGCGTACAGATATGAAAACGGTGATTGGGCTCAACGTACCGACTGGCATCGCGTGGTGGTCTTCAAGCCCAATTTGCGCGACACAGTGATGGAGTACCTGAAGAAAGGGCAACGCACCATGGTTCAGGGCAAGATTACATATGGAGAGATCACCGATCAGCAGGGCAATCAGAAGACGAGCACCAGTATCATTGCCGATGATGTGCTCTTTTTCCGCGACTCTCACTAACCTACATCATAATACAAACCAAACATCATTCTTATCTGTACATTATTAAGAACAAAGTTGAACTTGATTTGCATTTACATACATATGTATCATATTCATTTTATAATTGGTTATTTTTTAAATACATTAAAATTATGCTGTAAACAGTCAGAAATTTTGAATTTGCCATTAACTACTTTAGCCATATCGCATGTGCACTTAGTGCTCAGGCTGCTTATCTTGAGTTGTTTAGTTATTTGATCATAATTACTGGCCACATTATCGGCCATGCATTGTAATTGATTTAATTGTTCATCCATTGACTTAAGCGCCTTTACATGATAGTCCATAATAGTGATAATCTGTGAAGATAAACTCATTTTATTGGGTAAACTTGCCTTGCAATTTCTTACCAATTTAGGTGCTGCGAAATGTTTGGAGACCAAATTGTTGTACAGATCGATCTCTTTCCTTAGATTGTTGCACTGTGCGGCAGAACGATCTGCCGATAGAAGTAGCACCAAAAGGTCCCGATAGTTGCTAGTAATAAGATTAGCGAATTGTGAGTTCTGCGAAAAGTTGTTGGATTGTGCCTCAAGTAGCGAAATGTATTGTTCTGCTTGGAGCAAAGAGGATTCGAATTCCCCCAATTCAAGCTCAGTTTGGAAAAGACATTTCTTCATCGATTCTACAAAGTCTTGAATCGAAATAAGCTGCAGGTGGTTATAGTTCAAGCATATATTCGTATAATTTAGTCCAAAGTCTCACTTCTTCCATATTCTTTGAGCAGTAGTTTTCCTGTTCGCGTATAAAGCTCATTTTGGTGTCAAATTCCTTTTGAAACTCTTTAGTATCTTCTATTAAAATGTTCAAAAGCAAGTCCAAACATGTAAAGGACATTTTGTCCGATATTGATGGCGAAGACATTTTTAAAGTAAAATTTGTTAAGTAAAAAAACCTATATTGAAAGGCTATTGAACTATTTATTAAAAAAATTACGTTTATAACACATATGTATGTATGTAGAGCAGCATGCTGAGATTTGGTATGGAACTAATTCTATAATAATCTGTTTTCAAGTAGTTTACTAAGATTGGAATAGAAAGTTAGGCAGTAGTAAAACATGAGATCGTAGCATAATAATTCAAATTAGCATAAGAGCGCAAACTTATTTCAAAAGATTATTATATATTTGCTTTGTATTTGTACGATTTGCTCGTCAATTTTAGCCGGACATGGATTGAATTACCTTTGCCACACTGTACACAATTTAATCTTATGATCCACATTTTACAAAAATACACATACTGTTGCTGATTTATATACTCTTTTATTGATTCTAATGTTTACGCTTATCGAAATAAAATTATGTCACAGTGCCGTAGCCCAACAGACCAAAAATACATTCAGCAAATACTCAAACGCTGCGATCCACTCTCAATCGCGAAGCTCTTCCCGCATGGCAGCGGGAGCGCAAAGCGGTTCGTTATCGCTGTTTTGAGCGAGTGGAGGTTTGTTTTCATACTACTGCTATATGTGAGTGTTATTCAGTCATGAGTCGAAGCAAAAAGCCCATTCAGTTAGCATTCAGCTTTTTGCCAGTTCGGCGGCGCTTGCCAATCCACCTCCAGCGCTAGTTTGACGGCTTTGCGCGCCAATCCAAGTTTTTAGTTAGTTGTCCCTCTGACACTGATAACCCAGACACATCTTTTGCAATAATAATACACAAAATTTATATAGCACGTAGTACAGGCTTTTGGAAAATGCGAATTGTTATCATTTGAAGTTATAATAAAAATTAAATAAAAAAGAAAGAAATATTCCATAGAAATAGTCTCGATTTGTTACTCACCGCATAAAGTCATCGAACAAAAAATGGCTGTGGATTATGTTTTAGAGGACCTCATGGGGAAATTGGGTAAGTGTTTGTATGCAGTAAATAAAGATTATAGATTATAGATTTGCTGACCGTTTCCAAGTGTGCCTTTCCTTATCAATGGCGCTTATCAGCCACGCTTGCGTCGATCACGCACACAGCAACTGTGGCATTTATCCAAGTTATTATCAAAGCATAAATAATTCAGTTTAGTTCGCTAACCCGGCTGTCAGTTTTAATTATTTTTACGTTGCTTATCAGTCTTATGCGTATATCTATTTTTTACTTAGCCCTTAGCTACGCAATATATTTTTTTTAATTGCAACGCCTGTTTGTCAAGTTTTGCCGCCAAAGCATTCGAAAGCGCTGTGCTAATACAATTCTAATTGCGACTTTTTCTAATTTAATAAACATCAAGGTTGGGTTAATTGTCAGACATGCATGACAGACCGACAGGTACGTGGCTTCATACAATTAGCACGAATGCGAATTGTGAGCTCCCGTTTGATTTACTAAATCTTTTGGCCAAATAGACAAAACACGTGAATGACTTATCTATCGCATGGGATTGCGGTGTAACCAAGTAATTTACACTCATAACTAAAGCGAGACGCTTGAGAGCTATAAAACAATTCTTTGTGTGTTAAGCAGTTATGTAAAATCATGCAAATGAATTACAGATATTCCACAACTACTATTCAAGGTCTAATCGTTAACAATCGCTCTATTTAATAGAGCTAACAGCTAGAATATATTGACATTCAATAAACAGACTTTATAAGTTTGAAAGCTCATTGCTATAAATATCAGTTTTATATTTACCGTCAATCAGTTTTTATTTGTATATTACTGAACTTATCGGCGTTTGTGAAAACTTTTTGAATCACATCTTATGAATTGAAAAGTTAATGCCCACATGCGTATGCATAAGAAAACAAGTTTGTGTCATATAATATAAACCCACAAAATGTTTGAACTGCAACCGGTAAGAGATTAATGACCGCATTTGCAGTGTTATCTTAAGAGTAACAACATTTATAGGTATACATACACATACTAATATACTCCACTCGCAGTGTACATATGAAAAAACTGGTTTTGCCACGACTTTATTCCTAACTTTTTGATATTTATTTGTTTATTTTTATTTTTTGCTGATGTGTGCTTCCAGCGTGTCTGTTAGTCAAGGTACTGTTTTTAATATTCTTTCGTATCGTGACTTATGAGGTTTTCTAGTTGTTCTTTCAATGCCACAAGACTGACTGTATACATAAATTTGACCTACAACAATTTCTCTTAAAGTTTCACTAACATGCTGATAAGAACATGTCATATGAAAGGGCGTACTAAGCTTTTCGTGAAGCGTGGCCGAATTTCATAAATTTGTATCCAAACTAGTTGAGATGTTGGGAAAGGGAGTGGGTCAGATGGCAGTTGCCCCACCGCGTACGACCTTAGTTTTATGCCTGTAAATTAGAACGCTGAGCTCATAAAGAGCTATAGCTTTCTTCGAACAGCAGACACATTTAGTGCCTTTCGAATATGAAGTCATTAAACTTCTTTTGAAACTTTTTTCATTTACATTTTCATTTGTTAAGTTTTGGGCAAAATTTCTACAAAAACGTAACTTCAATAGATTTGTTCTATGTCAATTTTATGATTTGTTGATTCGATTGCCCTTAAAAAGTCTTTTGTAATGACCATATATTCATTTACAATTGAGCAGTCTAAGTTTTGCAGTAATAAGTAAACATACATTACAATTATTCAAAACATACTCCGTTCATATCCGTATTAACTCATAAAACGTAATAGAACTTAAATAAAGTAGTTTTGAATATGGTTTCTTAAAAGAAATATATCGTCGTCTACGTCGTAGTAAACTATATATATATATAGCTACTGATCCTAGAACAAAATACATCCGGAAATATTGCACCTGCATTGTTTTAATTGTTATGTTCCAGTAGATAAGTTTATTTAATAATCGTGTATTTACGAGTGTAATTTACAAGCTGATGAATATATGAAAGCTAAAAATCCATCATCAAACAAAGGCCACATATCCGCCCACCGCAGCCATGACAACAGCACTTGTTCTACTAACTCGTTCTACATTCGGCTTTGTTCAGTTTGTGGCTTAGAGTTTTGTAACAAGTAGCAATGTGTGTAATTCCAAACTGTATAACACACATCGATTGCAAAAGCCAATGTTAAACCAATGCCAAAAAGCCACAACCAATGTGAATAAATAAATACAGTATACAGTGTATATGTGAATAGGGCATATACTTTTGGGAAACAAATTTTGCAATAATTATGTATATCGCTTGAAAGACGTTTCAATTGATTTTTCGAAAATATTACAAATCGCTTAGGAAACTTTTTTTAATAGTAAACTCACCTTAAATCGCGATAGTGCTCTAGTGATTTTTGCGACTCTGCTAGCTCTAATGACTGATGATTTTTTTTTAAGCCCTTAAGTTGTATAATATCTGTTGACATTGTTGGTGAGGCTGAGTTATTAAATAGCCCACTTTATCCATTTAATAAACAATTTGCCGAGCTATAAAGGGTACTTTACAATCAGAAGGCTTCAAAAACACACGTTGTATGTCATGTTTGATTACTTGCATATAAGATGCTTTATTACGTTATTTGGTAGTAAACTGGCTAATAATTTTGCACAGTAAGTCACACAAACAAGTCATAAACTCACGTACTACGTGTGTACATATTTATTTTGACTCGGCTATGGCAATAGTTGGAATTCTGATAATCCGTTATGATTTGCTATTGGACCGCCAGTTGATTTAGTGCCTGTAGTTTCTGTTTCATTAGTGTCACTTATCGATGGGTCACTTGTCATTGCGATTATGTATATGAGGTGTAATTGAATTTAATTAAAGACTATCGCAATGTCGAATTGGTTTAATTAAAAACGGCTGTGAGAGATCAGTGACATAAATTCACGCTTACTTTGTGATCAGCGAAGTAATTTTATAAAATTCTTAGACGATGTATGTCATCTCGTATGCGAATGCTGGCCGTGTTATTGCTTTTCTGACTAGCGACGACTGCTTGTCCATTAAGCGAGTTGTATAAATCAATATTGTTACAGTTATAGTTTGTACAACAAATCAATTGCAATTGCCGAGAAAACCTTGGACCGCTCATGTGTCAAATATCTAGGCTATGTCCGAAGAAATTTACACAGTGCCTGCCCCCGAGCAGCGAGATCACAGCACAGTCAATGCAAAAATATAAAAACTCTCCACGACGTCAATAGTACATAGCAGAATAGAGAATACGAGCAAAAACCAAATAAAAATATAAAAGTATATATACACATACTGTTGGTAAATAGTATATCGCACACTTGTATGCTTTTTAATTGAAATCGAATGGAATAAATTCCACTTGATTGAATTGCAATGTGACGACAATTCGTTCGACGCCGTTGAATGAATCGCCCATCAATGAGAATCAGAAAACCCAGTTTGGCAACTTATATAGCTCCATCGATTTGGATAACTATTAAGCAATGTCTTATGTCTGAATTCAATTAAAATGTTTTGAATACGTAGGTAGTTTTTGTAGTTAAAGTTGTCAACGTAATTATTTCAATTACCATAAGCGAAGTTCCATGATATTTTATCAGGCTAATCTTAAATTACAAGATATTGAAATTTCACGATTTCTCAAATACTGATAAATATGTTAATTTTTTAATCTCTTAAAATGATTATTTATTATCGAAGTGAATGAATTTCATTCAGATTTAGAATGTATGAAAACTGGCTAACTTTATAAAATCAAAGAAGCGGAACATGTGATTTGAAATCTTGCCATAGATCATAACAATTGAACAAAAAATTCAAATAAATTTGGAAATGTTGAGTAAATTTAGCTGCTGTATCTGTCTGAAATCTATAATCTATGAAACATACACCCGAATGGTATTGTATATTGCTGTATCTAAATAAATCAACATTTAATTATAAATCGCTTCGTTTGTTTCATTTAGGTGAATTTGGCAAATATCAATTTGCCCAATTCTTTTTGCAAGTGCTCTCGGCACTGACGGCGGGAATGCATATGCTGTCTCTGGTAACTGTGGCTGCTGTTCCGGAGCATCGGTGCTTTATTCCTGGCCTGGATAATAGCACCCTCTCACAATTGCCATGGAACTCCACTGCCATCGTGGATGCCATTCCATTAAAGGCTACAGGCGAGCTGGACTCGTGTCATATGTTCGATTTGAGCGCAGGAAATCAGACTGTCATCATTCCCTGTGAGAATTATGTGTACGATACAACATATTACAAGACATCCCGCACCATCGACTGGAACTTTGTCTGCAATCGTCGTTGGATGGGCGCCATAATTCAGACTGTGTTCATGCTGGGCACCTTTACGGGAGCTGTGACGTTGGGCGGTTTGGCGGATAAGGTGGGCCGCAAGGCAGTCTTTTGCTGGTCGGCGCTCCTGCAGCTGATAGTCGGTGTTGGTGTCGCCTTCATACCAGAATACTTCTCGGTTATGGCAACGCGGTTCGTGCTCGGCATTGTTGGCTCTGCCGGCGCCTATATATGCGGTTTTGTGCTGACCATGGAGCTGGTCGGTCCCAGCAAGCGCACGGTTTGCGGCGTTACCTTCCAGGTGAAAATAAGTTGACTTTCTTTTGAGAATTTCATTAATCCTCATTCGATTTGCAGGCAGTATTTGCTGGTGGCATAATGCTAGTCGCAGGATGGGGTGCCATCATCAAGGACCGTCAGCTGTTGCAGGTGGTATATGGTCTACACGGCTTGCTGTTTATTGGCCACTGGTGGCTGTTGGATGAGTCACCGCGTTGGCTTTGGATGCAGGGACGCGCTGCGGAGGCTGTGGACATTGTGGCCAAGGGGCTACGCATCAATGGATCTGGCATTGCCGTTGACAAGGATTACTTTGTTCAGAAGGCCAAGCATCAGGCAGCTGTTGAGGAGAAGTCCAGTGCGGGCCTGAGTGACCTCTTCCGCACGCCCAATTTGCGCATGAAGACGTTGAATGTTTGTCTGTGCTGGTTCGCTAACTCAATTGTTTACTATGGCCTGTCCCTGAGCACCGGTAAGCTCTATGGCAATCCATACCTCATACTGTTCCTCATGGGACTGGTGGAGTTCCCCAGCTATGTGTTCGTGGTGTTTGTCTTGGATCGCCTGGGAAGGCGCTCCATTACATCCACTCTGATGCTGGGCGGCGGCCTCTGTTGCATTGTGGCCGCATTTATAGCACAGGGCAGTACAGTGTCCACCAGCGTTGTGATGGTGGGCAAACTGCTCATCGCTGGATCCTTTGCCGTCATATATAACTACTCGGCGGAACTGTTTCCCACCGTGGTGCGAAACTCTGCTATGGGATTGGGAGCCATGTCTGCACGTCTCTCTGGCGCTTTGACGCCGTTGATAACACTGCTCGGTGATTCGTTTGATCCAAAGATTCCGGCCGTGCTCTTTGGTATAGTTGCCCTTGTCTCGGGCTTTTGGGTTATGTTCTTACCGGAAACAATGAACCAGCCGATGCCAGAGTCCATTGAGGATGGCGAGAACTTTGGCAAGGGCGATACCTGGTTCAGTCAATGTGCTGGTCGCAAACAGCGACAGGATAGTATTTATCCCGACGATCCCGAGCAAATGGTACCGCTGAAAAACATTGAAAGCAAATAGAAAATGCCAAAGTTTTGTTTCCCTTTCAGTTAAGCATTCTCATAAGCTATACACACCCACACATAGCTGCTTTTGCAGCGCCTTTAGATAAGTTTCATCCTGTTAATAAATTGAGACACTCGCTGCGAGACTCGGATATATCTAATTCGATGATGCGTTGAGTTCGCAGTTCTCACTCTTGTTTTATAATTTACGTTTTATGTTTTTTTTTTTGGATTAAAAATCTAAACAAACACGGTGTTAGACTTAAGCGTGTTGCTCAGGAGCGCTGCCAGTTCTTTCACAGAAAACTGTGTCTGAAATCTGCATTAAAGTTGTTATTTTCGCTATTCGATTAGATTTTGAGCAAAATATGATCTTAGCTAGTACCCTAACCAAAGAAAATCAGCAGCGTAAAAGTATGCTATACAACTTTTAAACATCAAAATCATACCAAACACGAGCTTGATTAAAATTTCATAAAGAATTTACTTAAATATCAAGCAACTCAAGTTTTTCGAGAGCCCTTTGAAATATTTTATGCTTTCAGCCGTCACAGAAACAATCTCCAGTTAAAAACTTAAAATGTGTATAGAAGTGGGTGTAGGCAGACGAAAGGGAGTAAAATGTAGAAAATGTTGGGACCACGAAAAATCTATAAGGTCAACTCAAATGTTGCCAGTATCTTTACTCTTACGGAATTTACCCATTCTCGACAGCCGTCCTTACAACCAAAAACGTTCCCATTACGTGGCATGAGAAATATGTTATATGTATGTAACCATGTTTAATTTGGTGTCAACTATATATTGAAATTGATGCGTATTCAATTTCCCATTCTGACTCAAATAGGAAGTTTATAATTGCAATTGTTTCTTAAAAATACAAGTGTTCTCTGAAAAGGTCGCCATATTTATATTTCAACCTTGAATGTTTTTACCACAAGTACCCAGTAATTGTTACAAATTGCTACACAAATTTTAAACAGACATGCAAAATGATTGGCGGATAACTGTTAGATCTCAATTAAAGGACAACAGAAGAATTTTTGTTTGAATTGGTTTTTGTTTTTGGTACATTTGAGAACATTCATTTTAAATTTCAATATAATTTCGTTATCTTTTACTTGTTAAAATTATAACTAAAATTTAAACATATATATACGTATTTCAATATCAGATACAGCTATCCGAGTGCGCTCTGTCTTACAATTAAGTCAACATTTACATATACACAGATATTAATGAATATATATATATATATACATATTCATATCTGATTTGTTGTTGGTATTTGGGAATTCGTAGTTTATTTCTGCAGCTACTTACAATCGTATAGAATTTATGTTCATTATAGCAACGAAGGTACATTTAGATATTGTGTGGATGGCCACAAGTAACGAGTACAATTTCTGACATCGATACGAATACAAACAGACACCAAGAGGGATAGAGACTTCGTATGCAAATGACAAACACATCTAGACTGAATTACAATTAGCAGCTCCACTTGGCGCACGATAATATAAGCAAATCTTCTATATTAGTAATTGCTCAACGGCTACACATGAGGCAAATGAAATTGAGACGGAAATTAGAAACCGAATCATAAAACGCTCCAAGCGAGAGAGTACAAGTACTAAATACAAAACATAACTACGTGTAAATTAATCACAATTGAATTTTGGTTTTTTAAGAAATTATTTACAAAAAATACTCTCCACCACCAGATTGCCATTTCTGAGCTTTCTCTGTCAATGAGAGATATTCAGTTCTGGGCCTGGGCCGCTGGTGCTGTCTCTTCCATATGCCGCCAACAATTCAGTTTTAAGCTCAAAGCCTTGGCGCTTATGCGCGCTCCGGGCATTTGGTTTGTACAATGGGTGCTTTGGGCTGTACTGCAGAACCTAGGCCACTTCCCTCGGGCACCATGGCCGTGTGCACAATGATGGCTGGCTGATCCTCGCTTTGCGGATGCAACTCGTGCGATTCTCCGGGCGTTAGGCTGGCCAAAGCGGCAAGCAGATCGTGATTGACCAGCGGCTCAGCCTCCTCCCGCGGCTCCCAGCCGGCGGGCGGCGAAGCGGGTGGAGAGATAAGGAACTGTTTAACCGGCGCCGGTGGCTGAAGATTTTTGTTGTTAACGGGTGTCACCGGCTGTGCAAAGTAGCACGTGATCACCGTCTTCTTGTTAAACTCATACTGGTGCAGCTTAATGCGCGCATTGGCCGCCGCAATGGCGTTGTCATAGTTGACCCGCAACCGGCGAAAACTGCGCAGCCACTGGAAGGTGGCCGACTCGCTGAATGTGCGGAACAGCTCCTCCATGGCGTGCTTTAGCTCGGGATTGGCAAACACCTCCGAGTGTATGTTGGTCACAATAATCGATGTGGGTAGATCATCAAATGAGTCGGCATCCACTTCTGGCTCCGTATCGTTATCTACATCGCACTCGGGTGGCAGAGTCGGATGCTTATTGGGAAGACCATCAGCAGCATTTATATAAATATCCTGATCCGGTGATAGTTTGTCTATGCTGCCGTTGCCGCTGCTGTTCTGCGTTGATTTCAACTTGCTGCTGTTGTTGTTGTTGTGATTGCTGCGCGGTATTGTTGTCGTCGTCATCGGTGTACCATCGCCGTCATCCTTATCCACGCTCGCCGAGCTGCCGGCATTGTTATTCGACTTGGCTGCGTCCGACATGGCTGGGCTGTAAGAGCAAGAGTGGACAGTTCAAAAATTTAAAAAACTAAGAAACAAAATGTATTCATCCTTTTTGTATCGAATATCTTTTAATTTAAAATCCAACGTTCTATGAGTGACGACCCATCATAGAAGTCTTTGCTTATTTAAAAACAAATATTTTATGTGCAGTTAAAAAAAAAAACTCCTCTTAAATCTAAAAATCCCATTTAATGACTGAGTAATTTGCAGAACTTTAAAGACATTTGACATTTACGTGCTTCTCAATAATTAGATCCTTTAAGCAATCGCGTTAACAACAGCATTTGCTCAATTGTTTACCACAAAATTTACATTGAACAAAACCTAGATGCTTTGCTTTGACGTAACAGGACGATTACTTACGAAAGGAATTTCAATTGCCGCCCCAAAATATTTACGAGTGCGGCAAAACAGAAAAACTACAGACGTGTCTGAACCCATTGTAATACGGGCGGAAGTTCAGTTTAGAGAAGAGAACACCAAGGGAGAGAAAGAGAGCGAGAGGAAGGAATGAGACATACACTGAAGTTAACTTAAGTATCGGCACGTGAAGGCAATCAATAGAGTCCGACGCCACTGGGTTTGTGTTCAGCTTTTGTGACGCACTGTTGATTCACAACTGCTCTTGATTTTATTGTTTTGCTTCCCTATATATACATACATATACCGTAAATATGCTATATACATCTACGGAAGTGTGAGAAGGGCTGGACGGGGTGATTAATAATATTGGAGAATTTTTGTGAATGAATAAAAATGAGCAAAGCCGGTGCGACAATCATCGCTTTGGCGTCAGGACAATGACGTCGTCGTCGCCTTTGACTTCGTTCGTTCTCTGCTCTTCTTGTTTTTGTTGTCGCTTTGGCAGCACCTGTGACTGAGTTCAATTTGCTAACACGAGGCCAAAACTTTTAGCTAGTTTTATTGTGATGATTACTATTTTGAGGTAAATATAGTTTTAGATTAGCGCTCAATTGTATGCTATAAAAATACTTTCTTCCCTTTTAGGCCAACTATTTTTATAGTTGCTGAGCACCACTGAGCAAACAGTTCTGCGAATATGCATTGTGTTGATTATATTTGGAATAATTTATTCTTAATATAATATATATATATATATATTATATATAAGCGTAGTCTATTGCTAAACGGGGTATCTATCAATTACTTTTGCTATAAAAGTAAAGTTTCCTTAACTATTCGTACAATAGGAAGATAATGGAATTTGCGTACATTTTTGATAAGCTGCATAAATTTTATCAAGGTAAAAAACACAAACAATTTTTAGTCGAAAATTGATTGAGTATACATACGTATGTGTATCTATGCAAACGTATCTCGCAAGCCGGTGATTTCAGCTCGGGCCTGTGTGTGGTGCCTCAGTTTTGTTTTACTCTTCAAAGCCTTGCATGCCATAAGAAATGAGAGCAATTCCACGCAAAAAATTCTTCAAGCGAAATTTGGCAATAATACAAGAATATATCAAACAGCTGGGTTCAGCACTCTTACTTGTTTTTTTTTAATGAATAATCATCAATAAACTTATTTTCTTAGTTTAGGCATGTGATGATAAATTGATTTGGAACGCTTGCGAAAGATTCGGTTTATGCTCATTTATTGATCAACTGTGAGGCTTCAATGCGGTTTAATTTATTCAAAACAACAATATTAAAATTTTCCAAATTCATATTTGTGATTAACAAATATTGACAATATGTATGGGAGTTTTTTTACTGTTGTAATTTGATTTTCAGTCAGTTTCAATAGATAGACTCAGTAAAAATGCTTTGCGTCGGGCACAACTGTGATTTGATTTTCATTAAATTTAAATGCAATTACGAAAGTGGTCGATAAGCTATCAATAGGGACTATTACACAAAATTGACACATTGCACGTACTAATGCCAAGGCCAATTGTCAAGAGCAGATTTAAAGCGTGTCGTAGGACCCAAGTATATTTTTTTGTGCTCGCCGGTGGGCACTCAACGGACTAATATCCTTGCTGCCGGGCAGGACACGCCGACCGCCCGTTGTGAAAAGCTGTGCTTGTTTTTTAGTTTCCACTTTTTGTTAGCTTAGCGTATAGCGAGCAGATGCAAAGTACGAGACCGATAGGAAGTACAACACGAACAATGGCCAAATTCAAATGTGGGACCCAAAATGACGGCAACAACACAGCAGACTTGAACGTGTCCACGAGGACGAGGACAGCGGCGATAGTGATGGCGACGAGTTGATCTATTTCTGGATGATTGATTTCCTTGCAAATCCATACACATACACAAACATTCACACAAAGTTGCTACTCGTGCAAAAGTTAAGCTCTCGGGTCGCATGACGTATGCATTTTGTTTGGTTCACTGTTGCAGGAGGCTTTTCAGTCAATGGGTTGCTAGGAATACGCTCCAACACTAAAGGAGAGCTTGGGCAATAGAGGAAAAAAAACAACAGCAAAAACACAAAAATTGCAAGTAATCAACGCACAGGAAAATATGGGAGGGCTTAGTAAACGACCGGCTTGCATGCAAATTGTTTGGCTCCTGCATGACGTCATCATTTGTTTGCATGCCAAGCTAATGGCAATGTACTGCAAAGAAAAACGCCATAAAAGCAAAATGAAGGAGGAAGCCTGCTTTAAAAAATATGCAAGTACAATTTACATACTTATACATAAACATATGCAGACAAAGCAACGTCCAGTGCGGCTCAACATGATGATGAATTGCCTGACTGCCGTTATCCTGCGACCTTCACTCATTCATAATTGCTGTCATCATTATATCAAGTGGGTCCCAGGCACATTATAAGAAGCCCCAAGCCCCCCACAGTGAAAAGTGGGCGTACAGCAAAGCAAATCTTGCAACGAACTTGGGCTCCACAATTTAATGCGAAAAATGTGATTGCCACACAAAGAAAAATAATTTCCAAACGGAAAAAATAATAAGAAAAAGAAGAAAAGTCACTGTCTTTACCAAAGAAAGTATTCTTTAGTTGTAAATTCTAACAGGTAACATAAGTACAGGCAGCTACTTGAATTCCAAATATGAAACTTATTTTCAAAGAAGTTCTTTCGTAGTCAAAGCCATAGAAGTAGAAAGAAGTCTGTGAACTAATTTAATTGGATTTCAGTGTTAAATGGCTGCAACGCGTGTCTGGCAACCGTTAATCTGCCAGAGTGCAACTGCAACTGCAAAACTCTACACTTTGACCTCAATTCTCAGTCAATTCCCATCCCTTTCGCTGTACAATTTGCTCATGACAAAAATCAAACACAACGTGTTTCAATGCCAATGCATACAAAAATCTAATTTGATTTTGCGACAAAATTACTGTAGATATGTGGCATTTTGTTTTTGCAATTGTAGAATGCGCTGCTCAACATTTAATTAAAAGTTGCACTCACATCAGCCAGCTGGCATCATCCATTGAGTTTCATGCCGCGGCTAATGCAACCCCCCATGTGTATCTGCTATTGTGGTTGCATCTGTCAGTCACATTGGAGATATCAAGTATATACCACTCGTGCCTCCCATATGAAGCATTGTCAGCACATTTATGCCACACACAAGCCCACACACTGTGAATGTTCAGATAGCTGCTGGCTAACTTTACCTGACAGACAAAAGGTCAAAGTTTGTTTCCATTTGCGTTGGACATAAGGCGGCTACAAGGTATACATTTACATATGTATGTGTGTCTGTCTCATGTTTAAAAACTTCAAATATCAAATTATTCTCGTATATGTTTTTTTCCATAGCTGTAAAAGCAAATAATTTATTTTAAAAGTAGCACCTGTACCAGGACCAAGAAGCAAAACTGGTCATGTTTAAATTTATAGATCTCCTCCTCGCAACTGAAATTTATGAACTTGTTTTTTCTACATATTGAATTCTCTTTTACAATTACCAATATATTATAAACAAAAGTTTTTATTTGATTTTACATTACTTATTATAACCATCCATTTTCTCTGTGTTTACCTCTCATTCCCTTAAAACATGTTCGGCATCTATCATAATTTTCTCTATTAGAAAATACTCCTTGAATTCACCTATCAACTGGGGTAGCCGTATTTATTATTACTTTTTTCATCCTTACTTAAGTATATGTATTCTATACATATATGAAGACTATAAACTAAGCACCAGTTCTGCACGTGCTACCGACTTAAATTGTGCGTCTTAAAATTGTTTACGTGAGATATGACAATTTATTCAGCTTTAAATTCAATGCGCAACGCCCACTATTTGAGCTATTTCTATCTCTGGGTTTAAAATCACCCACCTAAATGTTGGCCAAGCTATACATAACGTTCTAAATATAATTGAGCATCCTGTGACGCATGCAACCAGTGCGCCAGCTTCTTGCATGTGATGGCAACCTGTGTTTGGGTAATTGTTCACAAAGGTGCACGTTGTATTATTTATTGTGTATTTATTTATATATATATATAGGCAGTGCGCACGAGGGGCGTATGCGCAATATTTATTGAACATGTATGTACAATATTGCTTCTGGATGTGGGATTGGCAACGTGTGGAGTGTGGTTAGAGTGGGCATGTCGCACGCAACAAATGTCACAGATTGGCCATGCGATTGCTATCAGTGGTGCCGCCTATTTGAGAATTCCGCTTGATTAGCAAATGCGGCGCGAAGCTGTTATTGTTGTTCTGCGCATTTAATTTATATATGTGTTTGTTTTTACTTTAATTCTTATTTGGCTGGCTCATTAAACGTAATCCCGTTATCCATTTGACAGTTGCTTCCCGCATCATCAATAGAGGATCCGCCCGTCGCCCTTTGCGGTCCAGGCATTAGCCAGTGACAGAAGCACACATAACACACCTAAATATACTTGCCCAATATAACATACACACCTACGTATATGCATGGGTTGCCCGCATACGAGCAAATTGAGAGTGTTTGTGTGTGTCTGTGTGTGAATGTCTGTTACAGCATCGCCTTTGGTTAAATTGTTGAGGCATT